GTGTGTTCTTGACACTTGCAAGACATTTCTTGCAAATACCCCTTCCAATGTCCATCCTTTCATAAAGAAAGTTTGTTCCCTTGGAGTTATTTATCTTCTTTATTTGACTTTCACCTTTGACTACATTAGTCATGGTCCCTAAACTCCCACTATCTCTCTTGAAACCTTTTTCAATTGTGTTATACACATCAAACAATTTGGAGAGTATGTGGTTATTGTTCACTACATAGTTTACAATAAACTTAGTGAACCATTAGGATAGGGAAACAAAGGTGAAGTCCTTGCCTAGTTTCCGTCTCGTTAAGTGGTTTAACACTTCAACACTCAATGATTCAAAATCATCATAAGTCCATGTTAATGGACTATTTTTGTCAACCAACCATTATGTTCTAAACATAATTACAAACTTTCAAGAGTTGTACAAGGCAACTCTCATTTCTTCATACAACAATTTGTAAGTGAAGAATCATGGCACATAAAGTGTCCATGCCCTTGTGCTTTACTTCTCAAGTTCTTTGTTCAATTAACAAAGAAACAAGCACTAAGTGTTTGCATTGACTAAGGGTTGTTCAAAGCAACTCTTATTTCTTCATACAACAATTTGTAATTGAAGAATTATGACATTAAAAGTGTTGTCCTCTTCTATGATATAGACCTTTTCTAACATATTCTTCTAATGATACATTATCAATAGGAAGATTGTGAGGATGAGACTACTTAGGTACATTTACAAGCCATTAAAGACAATCTATGGTTTTGTAGTACCAAGTCCGTAAACTAAACGTTCGGCTTTTATTTGTCAAGTGTTGGATAGCGTTTGCAAAATATATTGGTAAACAAATACATAACGAATATAAATTGATTGATTTTAAGCAATTTGATTCGGGTCTTTAAATCAAATAGCACCACCCACTATTTTTGGCAAATTCCATATCCCTCATTGGAATTCGAGAGTTTTGGATGAAACTCTTAGTAGGTTATGGGAGGCTCACTATTACCAAGCCCACCTCAGAATGATATGATATTGGCTAGCATTAATAATAATGAGAGAGTACGCTTACTCATTTGCAACTAATGCAAGTACCCATCTTATTTGGCCTCTAGAGAATGTCACCTCACAATGATATGATATTGGTTCCATTGCACTTAGTTAAGTCATTCCCACCATGCTTAGTTCAGTGAAGGGGTTCAAGAATAGCCTCACGAATGATACGATATTGGCCATCCTCGTTGCCTACACTCACCTCATCATATGTATATAGACTCCTCCTGAGTATAAGCATGCACTTTGTACTTCCCCATGATAGGGTGAAGCCGGTGTACAAGTCATAAACGATTGGAAGCCTACCACGGTGGAAGGCCACGAAAGAGTGTTCTAAAGCACTCTCACGCTTATCAACTTAATAATTGGTTTGGTTGAGGGTTTTAGGTCTCATCACATATCAATATACATTTTAATCTCTATTAAAACAATTTTGGTCCTATTACAACTATTGGTCCATATGATTGTTTTAGTTGTACATAATACTCCCACTATGCTTTTAAAACGGTTTTTAAAGCAAGAGTATATGTTACTACTAACATAAGGTTTGCATTCATTTGATGGACTATATAGTTGCCTTAGGGCCTTAGGATGACTATGAACCTTTGTTTAGATTCAACACGAGCCTTGTGTTGAATCTCGGTCTAGGGATGGAGATTGATTTTAGTTACGCGTTTAATCACATTAAGGCGTGTTGTCTTAGGGGCGTTGGACCCAATTACTTCATTTTCATGCATATCATATAAAGCAAGAAAGAAATACTTCAAAGTAAAGGATGAGCTTATGCTCATTACAACATTTGCATAAAACAAATTACCTTAAAGTAAAGAAGGAGCTTATGCCCTTTTACAACATTTGATCAAATCAAATTACAACCAAAATCTAATCTACACATTCCCATGGTTCAAACAAATTTGAAACGCCTTTCACATAGCTCAATTATATTAGGCTTAGGTTCATAATCATCCTTTAATTAATTAACGCTTTAACTAATTTAATTGAATGCAACATTTTCATTTGGTTTTTGTATCCATAAAATTGATTTAAAGTGGAGCTAAACAAAATGAAAATCCAATTCTCATTTAAAGAGACAAAACAATTTTGTTCTCATCCTATTTGGGCCATCATGCAATAACCACAACTTTTTGGGCCATATTGCGAAAACATAAACTTTTGGGGTCACTTTGTAAAAACACAAAAGTCACTACTTCATGTAAATACAACTAGAACCCAAAATTTAAATAAATTCAAAAACTTCATTAAAGGAGCAAAACAATTTGTCCTTTAGCGTTTTTAGGCCTTAACGTCAAAACGTAAACTTTCGGGTCAAAGTACAAATACACAAAAGTATCAAAACTTTATGTAATTGCATAAAAGCCCAAAAATACCCTATTTTATTAGGGTGGCCGGTTTTTAGGGATAAAAAGGAGTGGTGGGTGTTTTGATTTATTAGTTTTGTCAAAAACAATCAAGTAGTGCTTTCACCTTTCATAAAATTAATATATGTTTTGATGATTGATATTTCTTTCATCATTTATACAAATATTTAACACTTTAAATACTTTCATAAAAATAATATATGTTTTGATGATTGATGTTTCCATCATCATTTATACAAATATTTAACACTTTAAATACATGATAAATCATTTGAAAAACATATATCATAAACTTTATGAAATAAATCAAAACTTTGAATCAAAACACAAACCTTTTGTGTTCTTGGCAAGAACATCAAGAACATATGAAGAACATCCATGAAAAACCCATAAGAGCTCCATGAATGTTTTCATGCCAATAAAACTCAAATTTTTATCATTCAAAAATGAGGCTAACATCCTAGGGTACTTAGGGGTTCCAAAAGTCACCTTAAAACCATTTTAACAAGACAAACATGAACCAAAAAAATCACCCTTTGGATTTGGCCGAAAATCCCCAAAATCATGGCACCAAATTTTAGCTCCAATATTCATGCTCATATGAACTACATCTACAACATTTGAGATGGCAAATTTTCAAACAAAATTTACATTCAAAGAAGCAAGAATAAAGCTTGTAACAATTACAACTTTTAAATCATAAACTTATGAACTACAAAACCCAAAAGGATTCACCAACTACTAGACCTAGGCTCTGATACCACTTGAAGGATTTATTTTGAAAAACATGTTCATTTGAGCAACATCATATAGCATGCAATTAACAATTAAAGGCGGAATCATGCTTGCATGCACTCAAAAACAAAACATTTACCATGAAATTCAAAGCCTAGTAGATTGGTGAACCAATAATCAACTCAAAACAAAGTGAGTTGAAATTATTACCTTTGTAGATTCCTCTTTGCATAAGCAAAGGCTAATCACCCAAAGAGATAGGGCCTTCATTCCTTGCTTCTTAGATCCATGGATTTGGATGGAAAAATAGGTTTCTCCAAGTTCCCAAAATTAGGGAACCTCTAAGTCTCTTCACCAAGGTTTGATTGTAGAAGAAATGAGTGACCTTGGAGTAGTAGGATTGCTAGATGTACCCTCCAAGGTGTTGGCCTCTTTAGAGAGAAAATGGAGAGACAATTCTCACCAATTTTCCCCCAAAATAAACCCTTAATCACTTAATGAATATTTTAGTTATAAAGTCATTTATATAGTCACTTCTTTAAGTGACCTAAATAACCCAAAACCCTAATTCATCACACTATGGCCGGCCATTTAGGGGATTTTGGGCTTTCATGAATCTTTCATTCATTAAATTGTCATACAACTTAAGTTAATGGGCTTGACGTTTCGAAGCCCATTGGGCCTTAAGGTCCAAAACTATCCCGAAGTCTTTAACGAACTTATTCGTTTGATTAATTAACATATTAATTAATCCTTGCCATAAATAAATGATTAAACCATTTAATCATTCTTACTCATTTCCGTTTAATCTTCAATCTCCACCTTTTATGGTGTGCGATCCATTAGGTTCCTTTTAGCGAGGTAGTGGGCGATTAAAACCATTTTACATCGATTGTGAATTGAAACTATTTTCAATTCTCCCTTTAGTGATTACACACGTTTAGGGCTTCCACAAACCATGAGTGACACCTAGCAGCATATCATGGTTACCCAAGCTAATCAGAAGAGGATAGAGAACCTATTCAGTTTGGGATTACAAATGCAATACGGTCCTTCTCTAATCTAATACTCTTGACCACATTGTTTGGTATGATAGTTTATTTACTCATGTCTACTATCCAATGTAAATCGTTTGCTTATATGATTTCCTTGAATGTGATTTGGAACGCATTCCCTAAATCTCATTCATACTCTGGCCAGAGATTCCAAATCATATCATAGAGTATTCTCCCTCAACTGTTTGAAGGTTAGAGATCCCTTGTTGCGCATTCACTTGTCTCCATAGCTAAGTGGCTTAACCCCAACGATGCCGTGGACACCCCGAGGGGGTGACTTTGACATAATCAAAGATCAAGGACTTAACCACAAGACAACTGTGATGCCTCAGGTCAAAGGAACTACTTTGCATTATCCCAACCATGAGTTCTCATGTGACATGGAATATAAGAACTCTTCGTTGATCACGTTCAGTGAACTCATTCTCTATTGAGCACCTACGTACTTGTCTTGATGTCACACACACCAATGACTCGAGACTAATCACTCTCCCTGAGAGAAGACATAGTACGTACTGATCTTAACGGACTGTCAACGCCCAATTGACAATCCTATGATCAGGAACGTTTAGGATGTGTCTACGAAAGAATTGTCTCATGAATCTAACTTCATTAGATTACATTCTCCCAATCACATATTCCTTGGACTTTATCGTTTAAGCATATAACATTTATATGAGACGGCTCAAACAATAATGTATGCCCTTTATATGTAAAACTAGATTAGTTTAACATGTGAAATGTCCGTAAAGTATCATCACATGATTGGCTTTAGGGCACATTTCCAACATTAGGGTCACTTCCTCCTTCAAGGAATTGACCTCTCCTGTGGACAATCTGGAAGAAGAGGCACCCGTTTCACGAACCCCCGCCTTCCCCGTACACCGAACAACCTTACCATGACGACGACCGAACTTCTGATCCAGGACCTTAGTCACGATCTGAACATCTGCATCCTTGGGTACAATGATGTCCTCAATCGGGGTCTCCGGGGGAAGCTGCGATGTTGCTTCTTGGAGAATAGCAGTGCTCTTTTCCACCATATCACCCTGTAATAATAAAGAAAAAACATATAATGTTTAATAACAAAATATAAATAATATTTGAACGATTCATAAAAATAAGAAAAATAACAATTACATATACTTACATAAAGCTGGTCACTGTTCTCATTGTTGGGATGAACGTAAACCTGCTTGAACATGTCAATCTGTGGGAACTTAGAACCCTCCTAAAGAAAAAAAAAACATTAAGAAAAATTTATTAATCAATAATAAAAAATAAATTGAAATTTCAAAATTAATATACTTTTACCTCACGTCGTGCCTCAACCCTATACGAAAAAGGCTTCGAACCGGAATGGTGGAGAAGTGTGGGGTTCTAATGAGAACACGAGTTTGGTTCTAACGAAAAGAACTTAGGAAGCAAACATAATGTTTATATTCTGAAAGATCTCAAGAGTGGGGTTCTAATGAGAACACGAGCAGGGCAGCCAATCTTCTCGAAACTGAATGTTTTGAGAAGCAAAAGTTTGCTACTAATTGAGATAATTAGATACCTTCTTCAGTTGTTGAGTTGGTGCTCCCACACCAGATAGCCTCTCTAATCCTTGGAGGTGCAAAGGTCGGCCCTTGAAGAAACGATGAGTTATGTCCAAGAGGAACTCCAAGAAGAGATGTGGATGCCACAACTCCTCCTAAAGCACGCACAAGCTCTCCCTGCACAAAACCAAAGAACAAAATAGAATACCTCAGTTCAAATAAATAAACTTTAACAGCTTAATACCAATACAATACAGAAGCAGCACTCTAAAGCAAAAATTGGCAAAAGTTGGGTTGTTGAAAACAATAACAAGAGTTAGGATTACCTTTTCAGATTGAATACATATGAGTGAGATACTTCAAGCCAAGACAGAGACAACATCACATTACCAGCGAACCGAAAGCCAATAGATTAGGAGACTGCTGCAATCTGGAAACACAAGAATGAATTAAAACTACTATTTTGCACCTTTTACCACCTCTAACCTTCCATCCATTAAATCATGTTTTAAGAAATGTAGACGAGTATTTAAATTTTAGCGACCTTTCAGGATTTAGGACAAACAATTGTATAGTCTTCTTTAAGCAAAGTAGGCAAAAATTAGGGTCATTGAAAACGGAATAGGAAAAAAAAAAAAAAAAAAAGTTACTCCTAGCTTGCCAAAGAAAGTTAGGATCAAGACCAACCAAAAGCCAGGCGTCCATATGATATGATCCTGCAAAGCCAAAAAAAAGGTCAGTAATTGAGAACACCGGGAATACTATTCTGGTAGAAGGACGCTGCAACAAATTGGAAGATTTAGGATCCAAGCAATGACATGGAAGAGGCATAATGAACCAACTGCTCCACTTTGAATACTAAAATTCAATAGTTAGGCAAGACCATAATAGTGCCTGCAATAATAAGACTAACAAAAACTAAACAAACTTCGGATACAAAATTTTGAATCCTTTATGCAAATCCATGGATTAATTGGAGAAAATAAAGGAATTAAAAGTTAAAAGTTAAAACTACTAGAGTGCAGAACAATACGATAGCTACCCTCATAACAGTATTCTGAAATCGAACTCTTCTAACTAAACCACCTTTTCATCTAATCTCAGTGACCAGCTTTTCAGCAAAGAAAGCAGATTCGCTTCTATAATCCAACTCTTCTAACTAAACCACCTTTTCATCTAATCTCAGTGATTCTATTTTGAGAAACAAGTAACATTATTGCATTCAGAAGTAACCTTTTCATCTAATCTCAGTGATTAATATTCCTTTTTTCATCAAATCTCAGTGATTAATTTCAAAGTGAGGGTCGGGGCTCCAACTATAACAGTATTCTGAAATCGAAGAGAGAGGATGAGAAATTTTTACCTCTGGGTGTGTCGACTTCAAGATCGGAGGTTTGGCCTTTGGATCCGCTCGTGTGCAGCCTGATTCTCGCGAGATTTTGGCTCACTTTTCTGAGACGACGGTGCAGGCGACGGTGCAGAACAATACGATAGCTACCCTTTCAGCAAAGAAAGCAGATTAGCTACCTTTTCAGCAAAGAAAGCAGATTTGAGGGAAATTATAGAGTGAGAAAAGGGGTCTGGGAAGGGGAGGAAGGCTATGGAAGAGAGAGACCGAGTGAAAGAGAGAGAGAGAGAGAAGGGGTCTGGGAAGAGGAGGGTGTGGGAATATTTAGTCCAAAATTATCAAAACTGGCGCTTATTTTTTATACTTGCGCCAAAATTATCAAAACTTGCGCGACGAAGGTATACAATTCACGTCGCGCAAGGTATTTTTAATTTAAAAAAATAATTATAAAATTACTGAAAATGTGGCTTTACTCATTTTAATTTTTTTTTTTACATAAAACTCACAATAATATATTTTTCTAATAAAAACCTGACTAATAAATTGGTAGCTACTTAATAAATATACATATCATTTAATTTCTTAAGTGTTATACGTAAAAAAATTTTAAATTTAAATTTACTTAATAAATATATATACCATTTAACTTGATGCGATACGCATTGTACGAAACTAATTTCAACGATCCAACTGTCAAACTTGTTTGTATATGCTTCGAGATCACATATACAAAAAATCGAAAAAAAAAAGGTTCAGAGATCAAGTAATGGGACAAAACTTTTCGACGGTTATAAACGAAAAAATCACAATTTAACAGTTATTTTAACTCCGATTTTGATGATTTTTTACAGCTACACTCCTGGATCCTATATGAATACAAGGAACTAATTCGATTGTCAATTTAAAATATTTACACAAGTGGATACCACAAAATCTTATGTTATACTTGATGAAAGTATAAAAAAAATCGAAGTGTTAGGGAATCTAACGTTTTATTGAGATACGCATTGTACGAAACTAGTTTGAACGATCTAACCGTCAAACTTGTTTGTATATGCATCGAGATCGCATACGCAAAAAATCGCAAAAAAAAAACCTTCAGAGATCATGTAACGGGACAAAACTTTTCGACGGTTATAACGAAAAAATCACAATTTAACGGTTATTTTAACTCCGATTTTGATGATTTTTTATAGCTACACTCCTGGATCCTATATGAATACAAGGAACTAATTCGATTGTCAATTTAAAATATTTACACAAGTGGATACCACAAAATCTTATGTTATACTTGATGAAAGTATAAATAAAATCGAAGTGTTAGGGAATCTAACGTTTTATTGAGATACGCATTGTACGAAACTAGTTTGAACGATCCAACCGTCAAACTTGTTTGTATATGCATCGAGATCGCATACGAAAAAAATCACAAAAAACAAACCTTCAGAGATCATGTAACGGGACAAAACTTTTCGACGGTTATAAACGAAAAAATCACAATTTAACGGTTATTTTAACTTCGATTTTGATGATTTTTACAGCTACACTCCTGGATCCTATATGAATGCAAGGAACTAATTCGATTGTCAATTTAAAATATTTACACAAGTGGATACCACAAAATCTTATGTTATACTTGATGAAAGTATAAATAAAATCAAAGTGTTAGGGAATCTAACGTTTTATTGAGATACGCATTGTACGAAACGTTTTATTGAGATACGCCTATTTTTCACTATTGGAGTGCCAAAATTATCACATCAGGCGCGACGTAGGTATACAAATTGAGGTCGCGCAAAGTAGTTTTGCGCGTTGACTACATTAAGACGTCGTACAAGGTTTTTTTTTTTTAATATTATAAAAATTACTAAAAATGTGACTTTACTTCTTTCAAATTCAAATTAATTTTACATAAACCCCACAATAATATATTTTTCTAACAAAAACTCACAATAATTTTTTAAGTGTTATAAGTACAAAATAAATAAATTAAAATCAACTTAGTAAATATATAATTTTTTTTTTTACATATATATCATTAAATTTCTTAAGTGTTATAAGTACAAAATAAAACTTGGATTAGCTTGGATTTATTTTTTCAGACCAGTCAGGTTGATCCTTCAAGGGATGACACTTTTGGCAATGACGGGGTGCCTGCATTTAAAACTAGTGAGGGTGAAGGGCAAAATGAAGAGCTTGGTAGGAACAATCTTATAAAAAAAAGTTGGTGACTTTGCGCGACGCATGCCCACCTACGTCGCGCAAAACAACTTTGCGCGACGTAGGTGGGCATGCGTCGCGCAAAGGTGGAAAAAAGCGGTAAATTCTTAGGGTTTGGCGCCAAAAGTTTGCGCGACGAAGGACTACGTCGCGCAAAACGGCTTTGCGCGACGTACGTAAACCTACGTCGCGCAAAGGTGGGAAAAAGCGGTAATTTCTTAGGGTTTGGCGCCAAAAGTTTGCACGACGAAGGACTACGTCGCGCAAAACGGCTTTGCGTGACGTAGTCCTTCGTCGTGCAAACTAACGTCACGCAAAGCCGTTTTGCGCAACGTAAGTACACCTACGTCGCGCAAAACGGCTTTGCGCGACGTAATTTTATGCGTCGCGCAAGTTTTCGTCGCGCAAACATGTTTTTGTACTAGTGTAAATGCAGAACCTCTACTCACAGTAAACACAAGACCATACTCATTCTCATGAATGTTCAAATAATCCATAATCCTAGCCTTTATATCATGTTCCAATAGTGCCTTTCTCAGCACCGCCATAAAGCGCATGATTATTCAAATTTAGCTTCTAAAAATTAAATGGGTGTAAAAATAAATTCACATATTGAATTGGGTTTATGAGGGTATATTAGGTATTAAATTTGAGTTTAAAGAGATATTAATAGTTTAGTTAAAAATCAAATGGGTGCAAAGAGTAAGTTGGGTGTAGAAATAGGTTAGATGAATTTAAATAAAATTTTCCATTTTTAATTAAAAGACATAATTCCAATTTAATTGAATTTTTAGTTAAGAGACCATAACTTAATTGAAGTTAAAGTTGACTATTGCTACAATTTCTTATACATAAACCATGAAGAAAGATCTCTCTACAAAAAAATAAAAAATAAATAAACGAGTATGTCAGGGTCAACCCTAGCTGTGGGTGGTGGGTCTGCAACCCTTCGAGGATATGCCTCTGAATTTCTCTTAACATAAAGGGTATAGCCAACGCCACCGGCGATAACAGCGGCAGTGATGGCCATGGTGGTAGTGGTCAGGCCGAAGAAAAGGCCACTCCTCGCAGCCCCGGGAGGGGGATGCCCTTTGGTGCATCTTCCATTTTTTTCTCCTATCTTCAATTCTTCTTGATCCACAGTCTACCTCTCTCTGATCTGTATATCTTATATTTTTGTTTTGGGGCCGAGACGGTGAAAGGAGAGGCTTGTCGACACGTACGTTTTAAGTTGCATGGCACCAAGTGCAGCAGTCACTCGACACGTACGTACCCGGTTCGTGCAAGGTTTAGGTATATACAATTACAAAACATTAGGATGGAATGTGATGTGGAAAAACTAAAACCTTACTGTGTTGAAACTAGTTAGTTCATTTGAAAAAGATCACCTTGGCTCCAAACTTTGGCATGAATCTAAACCTTATCTCATGAAATGCATATTGCCAACCTAAAACCCTAATTTACGTGCCCATAACACATAAATCCATTTTCGCTGATTTTGTCTACAAATTTGTCAAACCACCCCGATGTGGCTTGAATAGGCACATTCTATATTAACCAAGTTGGAACATGATATGTTATCTTATTTATAGCAAAAATATCATCGTAACGGTATTTTTAGCTGATAATTATCTTCATAGTGTGTGATTCTCTATAAAAAGAAAAATTACAGAACTTTCATAAAAAAAGCTTGGGCTAAGTTTATTTTAATAAAATACCATGCTATAACTTTATTTAATTAAAAAATACTTAAATTTAATGAAAAACGCTTAAGCTTTAATAAAAATGACAAAAGAACTTAAATTTTAATAAAAAAGACATAATTTTAATATTAAAAAATTATCTGACTCGTGGACCCACGCATCCTTACACAAACTATTTATGAAACTTTCTACACTGTTTATGAAACTTAACGGTACTACACTATTTATGAAATTTACAACATTGTTTATGAAACTTACGACACTGTTTATAAAAACTTACGACACTGTTTATGAAACTTACTACACTGTTTATGAAACTTAATGGTACTACACTGTTTATAAAACTTAACAATACTACATTCTTCTCTCTTTTCTTGAATATTCTTGGCACATTCTCACCTTCCAAACACATTTTCTTCTTCTAATTTTCTTCAATACTTATCAAATTTTCTCTGTATCTCTTCAATTTCTTAACTTTCTACACTAATTACTTAATTTTCTTTGTATCTCTTCGTGTTCGCGTCAGGAATTTCCGCCGGGGATGCTTCCTGGCCGACGAGCGCACAGCTCCCCGGGAGGTTGGCGCCGGTTGAGGGCTGCTGTCGGGCTTCGTCGGGCAAGACTCGTCGGGCAAGGCTGGAAGAGAATGACAGTGTTAACTTTGAGAGGTGCCTTTGTGGGGCCTTAGATGTAGGCCTTTGAGGCTCACAATCAAGATTAAATTCTAAGTACTCAGGCGTGCCACTGCCATCTTTAGCATGGCAGATGTGAAATGGATGTCGATTTTTAGTTGTGTGTATATATATATGCCCGAGAAACCGTGTTAGTTATGACAGGTGTCTTTGTGGGGCCTTAGGTGTAGGCCTTGAGGCTTCCCATCAATAACTAAACCAGTGCTTGAACATGTAATATTCGTTCCATTGACTGCAGGAGTCTTATAACTATTATACTTCTGATTACCCGAATCCGAGAGATAGAACAAACCCAAATAGGTGCCTTTGTGGGGCCTTAGGGGTAGGCCTTGAGGCTCCCTATCAGAATTCGTTCTTTATACTCAAACATTCTAGACCGCAGAACGGAATGAATCCAAATAGGTGCCTTTGTGGGGCCTTAGGTGTAGACCTTGAGGCTTCCTATCAGAATTCATTCCATGCTTAAGCGTTCTATGATAATCATAATATAATAGAAATAAACTAAGGGGTAGGTCGATTACTTGCGCCCCAAGTAACTTCGGACTTCTTGTTTATCAAGGACTGTCGTGGATGGGTTAAGTCCACATAAGATTCTTTTTTATGCCTTGAGGCCAAGGACTTTTAACTGATCAAAATTACATGCCCGAGGGCTTAGAACTTAGATCTAATTTGAACAATGAAGGTTTATTCAAATCAGATCTAAGCACTGAGAGATTCTTTTAATAGTCATCTTACTAGAAATAACTTGAATACAATTGGAAGTATACAACATATTGCTAGGCTAATGAATGAAAAGTCAAAAACCAAAGAAGGGCAGGCAAGGTTTAACCTTGTCGGGCAAGCCTGATCGTCTGATCGTCTTGCTGGTCCCTATCTTTGTGACTTATCGAGGGTCTGAGAGATTTAGAGGGAGGAGATGAGTTTACAGAGATGAATCGATACTACAACAAATTTGAACAAGGTAGCAAAGCTATTACAAAGGTTTGAGTGAAGGCTTGTCCCGATAGGGATGAAGGCTTGGGCTGACTACAGCTTCGTTTTAAAGGCAAATCTGGCTTTTGAGCAGAGTTTGTGCTTTTGTTTGTTTGTTTGATTGAGTGTCCTTATTCCTGATTTCTCTTTCTTCTTTTATAGACAACCTAGATTTGCTTCTTGTAGCAGCAGCCTTGCCCAAATGCAACTTGAAAGGCAATGACTCATCAACTATTTTACTTGTTCTGCCACTATAAAGTACTTTATGGGCTGTATAGCTGGTCAGTCTATACCACTTGGCCTTTGGGTAGGTGAACAAGTGGTCTTCATGAGCTGCACCAAGTCAGAAAAGCCCTTTTCTGGTTTTCTGGGTTTCGGCTGGGCTTTGGCCAATTTGCTGGGCTTCGGCCGACTCTTCCTTTAGGCATCCTTTTGGGCCAGCCCCTTTCTTGAGCCCAAAGTTCAAGTTTTGATCAAACACTTCGTAAGTTTCCCTTGTTAAAATTTCTATCCTAAGATTCGTTTGCAAGATAAGGATGGTAAGTTTTACTGGATATTTGAAGAAGGTTTCTTGAATTTCACATGATCATATTATATGGATTCTGTAGGTGGAAGGAAACGTAGAGGGAGTGGAAGCGATGGTCGAGGTGTGCGTGGGGTGGATTTTTGTTTGGGAATTGGATATAATACGAAGTCAATAATTCTTCATTGCATACGGTTGCTAGTCAATCTGCTACAGTAACTCCTACGTATCATGCACGCGCTTTTTGTTTATTTTTTATTTCTCTTGTCCTTATCATTAAATAAAGTTATTAGATGATTTTTGTTTAAATTCTAAAGTTTTGAAATCATAAAGTTATTTTATGATTAACTAACAGGCGTCCGACGTGCGAAAACTTTTACGTTTCTTAAAAGAAAAAATAAATCGAGCAAATATATCACTGAAGCATAATATTTGCAACCTCAATGTGGGGATGCACATATATATCCCATTCGCAAATACGTATCTTGACCGAATAAAATCAACAATCGAAACTATTCAATTTATAACCTTCATTTGAAAATCACTACTCCTACAGAAAATCATTCAAACTGGAGGCCGTTTTACCATCCAAACATATCAAATAAATGGACAGTTCCTCATGAATAGGTTTCTTGGTACCTACACCGTCGATTTGTATTATACATTTGAATGACTAAATGATTTCTTATTGAAATTATTCTTTGTAGAAGTGATTTCAAAAATAAAGAATAAATTGAAAGGTTCAAATCGTTAATTTTATACAATCAAGATACATTACGGAGGGTATGTAGTGCAAGTATTATCCTCACTAAATTACAACTACAAGTCTGCAAGTAATTGAACTACAACTACAAAACCACTAAGCTAGGGACCAAATAATTTATTTTTTCTTTTCTTTTGTTCTCCTATTTTATTTTTTCAGTACAAATATATATTTTATATTAAGGGAGGGGAGAGTTTGGCTAAACCACATAATAATAACTTAATTTGGTATCGAATTCGTCATCCATACCGTAGTACTGGTCCAGTTTAACCCCACCTTCTAAAACGACAACGGTTTGAAGCGTTTCGAAACCAGCTAGTGTGCACTCTCACTCACAGGGCCCAAGCCCTGCAACCAGGTGTTCTCGTCTTTCCATGCTTTTGTGACCGTTGCAAGAAACGTTTTCTGCTCCGCCATTAACGTTTTTTCTCCCGTTGCTTTAACCTTTTCCCTAATCCCCACAACGGCTAAGTTTTCTCCCCACACTATATATACATCACAGCTGAGACCCCATAGCCACCACAACTCAAATCCTCTCTCTCTCTCTCTCTCTCTCTCTCTCTCTCTCTCTCTCTCTCTCTCTCTCTCAAATTATTCAAAATCCCCCAACACTCTCTACTCGCTCTCTAAAATTTTCGAATGGCTGGCTTTTCATCCTCAAAAGCTCTGTCATACTCCTCTCTTCTCGTCGTCTTCCTACTCTTCAGCTTCTCAGAAGCCAGAGAGATCACCGTCGGTGGCAAGAATGGCTCATGGGCAGTCGGCTCTGAATCCCAATCCCTCAACAAATGGGCCGAAAGCACCCGCTTTCGCATCGGCGACACTCTTGGTAAAATCCCCATTTCAACTCCCATCTAGGATTTTCCATTTTTTAAGTTCTCTTTCGCACATTGCTAATTTTGTGTGTTTCTGTCATTTTTTTTTTGCAGTGTGGAAGTACGACAGCGCCAAAGACTCAGTCTTGCGAGTGACGAAAGAAGACTACGGAAACTGCAATGCGTCAAACCCAATTGAGCAGCTCAAGGACGGCGAAACAAAGCTCCACCTTGACCAGCCAGGGCCTTACTACTTCATCAGCGGAACCAAGGGACACTGCGAGAAGGGGCAGAAACTGGTGTTGGTGGTTATGACTCCAAGGAAGCACCTCGGTATTTCTCCCGCTCCTTCTCCGGCAGGGGAGGTCGACGGTCCTGCTATTGCTCCGACAAGCGGCGCTACAAGCTTGAAGGGTGGTGTTCTGACTGTGGTGGCATTGGGAGTGTTTTCTCTGTGGTTTTAGAGAGGGGGAGATTTTTTGAACTGTGGTTGTTATCTTTCTGGGTTTTTGTTTTGAGAGTGGGGGATAATTATTTCTTTATTTCTTTATTTTTTATATATATGAGACGAGATATTATGTAATTCTATTTCGAATGTCATAATATCAATATATTCATTTTCTAAATATAAAAGCCTTATTCTTCTTTTATTTTTTCAGACAAAACGATAGTTGTTTTATTATAATACTAAAAACTGATACAAACATTAATTAGAACATTATGAATAAAATCCAAGAGGTCTTGAATTCGATAAACTTCACTAATACAAACGCCAACTTGGCCTAATTCTCACAGTATCGGTCGATTTTAAGGCGACGCGTGTCTAATAAGCAAAGGGAAGTATCTTGAAAAAACCAAAATTGGAACAGAAATCGTGAGCACAAAAAGTATCCAACTCTTTGATAATGAGCAACGTTGGCTTTGAAGAGGAAATGATGAGGAATGTCCATACCAAAATGAATTTTGTGCTCAACACCGTTAGCAAAATCACCATAAACGACTAAGTAGACTCAGGAGAACCCGATAAGAGATACTCACAGGTAACCTTCAATAAGGAGGCACTATAGACGGAAATATTAAAACGAAAAATAAAACTAAAACGAAAAATAAAACTATGGTAATCCATAAGACCAACTCCAATAGTGGGCTAAATGCCAAATTTTCCCCCAAATTCCCCCCCCTAAACACTCTCCAACCCAAGCTAAAACATTGGGCTAAAAGCCAAATGCTAAAGCTGGGCCAAATACCCCACCAAATTCCTCCCTGTGCAAGTGGACTCGTTGGCAATTGGGCCAGTCTCAGCCCGTCCACGCTCCAACGCGCCCCACGCGTGCACCTACAAGGGTTTCCCGACAGAGTGGGCCCCTTTGTTAGGTCGTGTGTCGGCCACCCACTTGGGCTCCCCACGGCTATAATTACATCCAAGGGCTGTGATTTAAGAACCGTTGGTTGATCCAACGGTCCAGATTCAAATTTCATTTTTTTATAATATGTTATTTTAAAATACATTGAATCTAACGGCTGAGATTGAATATAATCAAATCTAACGGTACAAAAAAAATCTAACGGCCCAAATTTAAATCCAACGGCTAAAATAATTAAAAAAAATTATTTAACTCAAAATTCATCAAAAAAACTCTATAAATACCTATGAACGGTTGGTGAAAGTTGACAGTTTGGTGTTGAACGGTTGGTGAATTGAAAGTTAGCCCAGGGTTGAAAGATTGGTGAAAGTTGAAGGCTTGCTTTGTGGAAAATTTAGTAATTTTTCAATATTTATTGGAATTTAAATTTTTTTAGATTAAAATGTTCATAAAATTAATTTACGATAGTCTACATATTTATTTATTTATTAAATTTTATTTTTAGAAAAAAATAGCCTACGTTCATTTTTTAATAATTCCGGGCTAAAATTTTAGGCCAGAACGGTTGGAGCAAAACAACTGTTTTTGGGCTAAAAGCTATATTTTTCGGGCTAAAATATTTGGCTTTTAGCCCAACCATTGAAGATGATCTAAGAAGAGAAAAGAGAAAGGTTAGGAGAATGGGGAAAGAGCTGCCACCGACCCCGAGTCAAAAAAAATGGTCAGCAGGTATGGTGTTTTTAATTATATCATTTTTAATTTTTATCTTTTATGCTAGGATAAAAAGAAAAGTACATGGTGGAAAAGAGGATGAGAAAGGGTGGTAAGAGGATAGCGAGATATGAAGGAGAATAAACAAAACTTTGAAGTGATTTAAGTTGAAAAAAACGAAAAATTGAAAAGTCGGAAATCAAAATCCTCAAATTTTAAGTTGAACAACGGAGAAACAATAACTTGAAAGTGAAAACAACCTTAGCTGAAATCTTGAAACTCGACCTCATTGAAAATTTTGAATCTTCCGTTACAAAGCAATGAACGATTTTTCCTTGAATTCGAACTTAAAGGTATGAAGAAAAAAGGATTCAACATAGAGATTACAAGATAGGACAGTTGAGTGTCATAGAGATGCGCCGGTAACTCATCATTTCAATTCTCCCAGGCCTGGTGGCATTCCTAAACTCTGGGCAAGGTTGCTCATTCTCTCCTTCATGGCCTGAAGATGGGAAGTGCACACGAATACTATCAGTTAAAGAAGCCGACTTTTATCAATCAGTCCGTGAAACATAAAAACACGAGACAGCGTTCTCACCATGACACTCTTCTGATGCGCATCCTTGTATGCTTCTGTGACCAATTCAGAGACTTTCTGCATCGTGAAAGAAAAAGGAAAAGAAATCACATCTATCCTAAGGAGAAACTCATTCCGGCGAATGGGAAAGGCAAAAATAGTTTTCTTGACTTACTTCTGCTCCTAGTTCCATAGCAGCCTCGGTTATCTCAGTGCGTACGGGTTGCTGGTTACCAGAAAGGGTTACCTAGGGGAAAATCAGAGATGTTCGACAAAAAAATAGAGGGGAAAATTAGAGATCAGTGGATTGTCAAATCGAAGAGCAACAGAGACAAGAGTATATATATGCAAAGGGGAAGAGAAGACGGAGGTTCCATGTAACTAACAGCCAAGCTGATAAAACTAAAATGTACTGATTGGAAAAACTCAGAGTTATCTGTGTAGGTCAGTAAAAGTTTTTCTAGCGAAAGTGTCTTCGCACTTGATACTATGAAAGTGAGTTAAAATACCAGTCCGACACAAGCAAACCAGCTTAGATTCCCAAACCGAACAAATATCAAATGTTGAGTGAATCATTCTTACCTTTATTATCTCACCTTCACAGTAACCATCAAACTCTGCCCTGAAAAAACGGAAAGAAAGAATGAAGAGATAAATAATCATACCACTGAAAGGATTATGGGTATCAGATTAAATTGGATAGAGCTTTAAGAACATACGCAGCAAGCTCTTTCTGCACACGCACTGCTTCAACTTGTACTACATTTTGAGCTTTCTTAACTGTTTCATACAGATTTTGCATATTACCGAATATTCCAGCCTGCATCACAAGTGAGCAGACATAACAGTACATCAACTTAATATTTAAATCAAGGTTTCTATTCTTAAAACTGCTGGACTAGCTCCACGTTGACCAAGAAAGATTCAGGATACTGTAACAGAAAACAACATAGGATCATAGTGACAATTATGCTAGCAACGACATGAAGTCACTATCAGCATATATTCTAGTAAACCAAAGTGGCCACCGTGATATATGACCTCAAGCTTGCAATGTCACCATTACACAAGACAAAGCAAATGATGATAACACTATCAGCATAGCAACCTTATAGTTCGACTATAATTATAGCTAGCAACCCCAATTTACGCCCATCCCATTGCCCCTTATCCTGAACAAATCCTGCCACCAATTGAATGAGCAAGATATAATGATCCATAATAAAACATAGCTGGACCATGTTTGACTAAATTACAGTTGGCAGTCTAATGTCAGAATCTGATGGGCCTAGCGCTGCATAAAGCTACTTAGCCTACAAATGGAAGGGCTACGAAACCCTGCAATCTAAGAGTGCATGAAGCATATAAATTTGATTTCATGTCCACATATGAAGCATGTAAAAGTTAAAACTAGCTATCCCCTTTCATTTTAACCGAGTTTGTATTGACTTGACATACTTAACAGAGGAATACAAAGGCGCAAAAAAAAGATTATGAGAAAGATCAATGTTTGAAATTTCTTCGATACCATTGAAATTTCTATGGAAATATTGAAAAATTAGAGAAAGATATGGGAAGAGGGTGATGAAGTCTAAACTTCACCCTATATCGGAGAAACTCTTAAATTTTGACTAAAATCAATATAATTCATCGATATTTCCGACATATCAGTTAAATATTGGAGAAACTCTTATGTCTATACCAGTGTATGACATTCCCCAAAATTTCATTTTAAATTTCCACGTTTTTGAGCAATTTTTCATCATTTCCATCGAAAGCAAGCGATATCGATATATCCATTGATATTTCCACAAATTTTCATATCGTTATTTCCACCAATACCGATATTTTAACCAGTCAGAAGGATTAACGGGTATATAAATTCAGTAGATAGCAATTCTAACGATCAATACAAACTTCGTCTACCCAAGACAAGATCCAGAAAGATGGAAAAACAAACTACAAGAGGGAAAATGCTAAACCTTTGAAGCTGCATCATCACCCTTTTCAGCGTTATCCTTTTTTCCTCCTCCAAATAAGCCATACACACGGGAGGAACGGGGCGCCCTCCTGGTCTTAACACCAGGCCAAGAAACAATTGAAGGACATGCTGGATGTGAGTTTACTACTTCACCTATAATCAGAAAAAGCAGTAAGCTCGATTTGTCATCAGAAATTACACAATAACCCCGTCTCACGGCAGATTAGGCAAAACATTTTTGCAAAACAAATCAATGATTAACAGATTGAGCATCCATTTCGGAGATTCGCAAACATTAAAGAACATAAATTTTCAAAGCCCACCATCTAGTTTGACATCCTAAACAATCTAGCTCAGCTAGGTGGCATCAAATTTCAATGCCGAGAATATGGTCCAACTTGCCAACCATAATTTCTCACTGTGCCAAAGCTACGATTCTTCCTAAAGTGTTTGCTAGTAAGGGCATAAAATTGGTATAAGAAGGAACTCAATCTCCGTTCTATCTTGTTTCCAAAAACCCATAATTTTTCTATGCAATTCGAGACATATTTGCATACAAAATTGAAAGGATTGCTACTGGTACTAAGCCAAAACGTATCGAGAGGGAGAGAGAGGTAGCTTACGGAAAGAGAGGTGCTCCTGGGAGTCGGTGAGGCGGTGGAAGTTGGAAAGCCGGGAGCTTAAAGCACTCGTCGACGCCATTGACGGAGTGAGGGAGAGACAGAGGAAGAAGATAGAAGAAGCGAAAAAGCACAAGTTGTCGTTTACAGAAGGAAGGAAGAGGGTGTAATTCACTGCCACTCTCTCGCGCTGTCTCTCTGTTTTTGGATAGGGTGGATCTTTTTGAACAAAACTTTGGTAATTTTATTTTTATTTTTATTTTTTTTAATGAAAGGGTCTGTTCAACTATATAAATGGAAGAGGATCCTCTCCTGAGCTCAGGATGGGGATTCTCCTGATCACGAAATTCAGGTCGTTCAAATTGAATTCAACGGTTGCAATTATTATAACTTTTAGAGGGTCCTCCTGTTTGGAGTTGTTGGATTAAATTTGAACGGCTAGTATTTCGTGGTCAGGAGGATCTCCATCTTGAGCTCGAGGATCCTCTTCTGTTATAAATAAGCAAAAGTTAAAGCGATAATATTTGCTAGGGACAGGAGCAAAGTAGATGTAAAATATCACACTGTTTAGTTTCGTAACTACAACACAAAAGAATTACAGGTAAAAAGAGGAAGGGATGGATACTGATATTATTGCTTTTAGTTCTTTTCTTTTCCTTTGTTGTGTGTATTGTGATCACACACGGAATGCTCTTTATATAGAACAACATATGTGACAAACCAAACAAACAAAATGATTGCTCTTTTTGAAAGCATTACACAACAACTATTACCCTACTATTGTCAAGTCTCCCTTACTGTGCGCATTCATTCATTCATCCTCACAATTTTACAACAAAGATGGGTTTCAAATGACATAAAAACTTTTTCTTAGTGTGCACACAAAATACCTTGCGAAATCTTAGCAGTTTCTTCTTGCACAAAAACTACTAACTATTTACTCTCGATTTTTAATCGGTTTTGCCTAGTTCAACAAAATTCATCATAAAACCCCATTTTGGTAATATTTTCATGCGGAATAATCCGAAGATGTTCAAAGTCGACGAATGTTCATTCCGGCTAAGTTTTGGGTCATAAAGAGAAGAACTTACGATTAGCTTTTTGGAAAATTTCCAAACGTTGATATTATGAATGACTGGTTACGGAGGAACCGTTTCGTTTTTGTAGGTTAGTCTTGCATGTTACTTTGAAATTTATGATTGATTTTTCTATTTTCAGCTTCAAATTTTAATAAAGAAGATTTTATAATTTCTCAATAAATGATAAGACTTCTTCACGGCTTATAACATTTTTGTTAATGATTAAATGTGCTTTTAATTTTTAAAACCAATTCTTAGTAAAAACACAAGTCAATCCTTAAAAAGAACCGCAAGTGCTTTTAAAACCCAAAAAATTTTGCTCTAAAAACTCTTTTAATCATTTTAAAAACACTTCCAGACGAGCTCTTAATCAACAGTACAAAAGTGGTACAAATATCATCACAGCATTGCCAGTCATATTATATATTATTCTAATTGTCTTCAAAATTTGATCCAGAGAGTTGCAGTCATGATATATAAGACAGTATATGGATTACACATTCCTCCAAGCAACACCTTCCCGTTTAAGACATAATAAGATGCTTATACATTCGTCTGGTAAATTACAACTACATTTCTACTTATCAAAAGGTAACAACACAAAAACTTGCACTGTGAAAAAGAAAGAAAACGCAAAGGAACTACAGAGAGGACGGATGACGGATCATTCCAAAACGAGAGCAAATCTGGTCTCCGCAACGCAACCCTGTGAAAGTAAGATAAGAAAGAAGATGGTCAAAAGAAGTTGAAACTTAAATCTCTTCAAACTTGGTATAAAGGAACAAAAAGATTTAAGATAATTTGCTTTTACAAGCAGTTCACAACGATTCATATGCGATGGCCTAACTGGAAACGTGAGGGCAAGATCAGCAATTCTGATTAGTGAGTTTTAAGTAGGATTAAAAGATGTGCCTTGATTCCTTACTTCTCCAGAATTAAGGGAAAACCTGATTTCAAGTGTGTGTTTATGTGCATCGACACATCTATTTTCACAATCCAAATCAAGGTGATTTTTTCTCAATCTTTTCGACCTTGGTTCCATAGGAGCAAGTCAGAAAGATTGAGAAATAGATCCATCTGATCGTAATAGATGGTAGGACATGTCTCAAACACCATCTTATACATCAATCACTTCAAAAACATGTGTGTGTCCCACAGTCCTAGTTATAAATACTCATAACTACGGCAAATCTAGTCGTAGAGTAGATTCACTTTCATACGAATATTTGGATATGGCTCACATATCATATTGTAAATGCTAACAATTTTATATGATTACAAAGCAACAACTCATTCATACCTAAACCTACATATTTAGATTGTGGTACTGCCTGTGATCAATAGTTTTATATCCCATATGGGGAGTCCCCGTGGGAATAAGTTTCCCTTAAAGTTCATAGACTTTCAATAAGCATAGCACTTGCATTTCCAGATCGGCTATGAATTATTAAATTCCCATTGGTGATAAAGAGTGATTTGTAATCCCCCCAAATTGCACCGATCATCAAAATCAGAAGATTAGGTGTGGAAGGATAGCAATACTATTTAAGTGGTTAATAACAAAACATGACTTGCATTGGTAGCAATAACAAATTTACTTGTAATTATAGTTATTCCAAACATGGCAACTACAATTATTAGCAACTCAATCATCAATAACGAAATCTTATCAGTTATACGTAACAATTTATGGATATATCAAATCCTTGGTCTTCCCATTTTGACCGAGCAACGTCTATACAGGTTTTAGACAAGTAGCACAAGTATTGCCATACCAATGTCCAATAACACTGACACGGGCACATGACTCTGTAATATTGAAAGCCAGATGACCATAATGAACTTGAAACAGCCGAAATAACCGAGGAAATAAAACCATAACGTGAAATAAGAGTTAAGAAAAGAGTTCTACCGGGAAAATCAGGAATCAGCTCATGGATACGTCCTCTTCATCTGAACTGATCTGTATAGGTCCCTTCATACCACCTTCATTATCACCAAGTATCTCTCGTGCTGCTTTCTCAAGGAATTCCTTGGCAGCAGATTGAACTGATTGTTTATTAGGAGATTGATATTTCCTTTTCTTTGGTGCATTCCTTTCTAGATACTTCATGGTTGGCCCATCTCCTTTGCTAATGGCTCTCATACTTTGCCTCTGATCTGAACAAAATCAGCTATTATTGAGTGGAATGATATCAAGGTGTTTAAAAAGTGACTATACTGACATAAAAGGTAAATGACCAACTTACCAGGGGTGAGGTCGGGCAAAGAATGCTCGATGAAACGGGTAGCTGCCTGATGATTTAAAGTAGTGGATGGTCGCAAGGGTGCTTGAACAAAATCAAATTGTCAATAAGAATATAAACAACCCACCAGTCAAACAATCATAAGTAAAAATGGAAATTTGCAAACAATTCAATATGTAAAACGCATGAAACACGATATCTAGGATATATGTCATGTGTAGCAATAATCTGTAATGTCCTTCTTGGTTGCGGCATTGTTTGAGACAACAAGGAGAACACTAAGCACAGCCGCCCACATGACACGTGCGCGAATGGCAGCACCTCAATCTATAGCCCGCAGTCACAGACGGAAAACAAGGAAAATGCTAATCACAGTCTCCCACACAACACTGAGTTCGAATGACAGCACCCCAAATCAATTACTAACGGTAACTCACTTGGCGCAGGCGACTGCGCTTAGCATATCTCGATACTACAATATACAAATCGATCCATCAATAATGGCACTTCCAAAAGAAGAGCATGTACCTTTACTCAAATCCACCAACTTCTCAAGCTTCTCCTCATACAATTTTAATCTATCCTACATAAATGAGACAACAAAAACAGAAAAGCATTCAACTTCACCCAATTCAAACAGTTACGCAAATCCGATAATCTCAAAAACCATGAACTCACACACACAGACATGCATAAACCCAGAAACAATATCCACATAAATTCGATAAATTTCAAGAATTTGATTAAAAAAATATACAAATATTAGCAAACTTACGAACTCCGTTTTGACTGGATGGTTAAATGGGTTTACTCCAGTGCACCTCAGCCTCACTGTAAAACCAAAAAGTACAAAAAATCAACTAAAATTCGAACTGGGTTACCCAAAAACCTCAATCAAATCGGAATTAACTGAAAATTGAGTGAAGGAAAGCGAAGACTTACAGGCAAAAAGGAGGGTGGTGGCCTTGGAGAGCATAAGCAGCGAGTGGGCGCGCTCGAGCGGCGGCATTTCGGCGAGGACGTCGGCGTCGGCGAGGGAGAGGAACTGGAGGAGGTGGGGTCGAAGTTCTTCGACGTCCCCCAAGGTTTTCTTCACTGATTCCATCACTGAATCTGGTATTATCGAGCTTCCTTCCATTGATCTCCGTCTCTCGCTCTCTCTATCTTTCTCTCTCTAAATCTATGTGCGGCTGTGGCAGAGAAATAGAAGAGAAAATAAACTCAGAGGGTGTGAGGGTGGCAGATTTAGACAGCGAAATTTCCAAGTTCGGAGGAGGAGGCAGTAAATGTCGAGTTTTTGAGGGGGCTAGGGCTTTTGTTTTAGTGCCAAAAAAGAAGAGGGGATTTGAGATATGAAATCAGGGTTTATGGTGGCAATTTAGGGACAAGAGTGCACAACAACTCTATATTATAAATTACGATGTAAAGATTATTTCGGTACAAAACTAATCGAATATGAGATCATTTAATTATCTAAATGTATAAAAATAAATTAACGGATTCGATACACGAATTACGAATCGTTTATCTATTTACTATCACTGATTGCCTAAATAATCTCAATCTTAATTAATCTTTTTATAAAGATAATCGTTATAGAGTGATTTTTAATTCAAATGTCGTAACAGAAAAAAGAGTGCAAATAGAGAGAAATTTTTTTTTTTAAAATCTTTCCTAATAAAAAGACGAGTGGCAGTGAAATATTCGAACGATGCAAGCGAAAACTATTGTCTGCTTACACAACATGCACATGTGGTATTACGAGTTCATTAAGTTATAATATAACTGACACATCCCGATCCAGAGGATCCAGGTGTGCTGGCCGTCACGTGAGCGTGACGTAACCATAAGTGCGACACGGAAGCGAAACAATAACATGCATAAGAAGGAATTCAAACCAAACTATAGCAGAGCAACCTACTAGAATAACAGGACGAGTTATAAAGTAAACACGTGAATTCAGAGCATAGGTTAAAGTGCAGTCAAGTAGGACTAAAATGAAAGTACATCACCCTCAGGTGAGTCCTACATGTCAAGAGTCTGTCAGAAAGCCGGAATAAGACCTCGAGAACCACCAACCGCTAACTAGAACCTGGAGGGGCGCAAAACAAAATGAGTGGGTCAGTAAAACCAAATAGTTTTCCAAAACAGTTCATTAAAAACAATTCTAACCCCTCACCGTAAAAACCTGTATACTTTCCCAGAAAATAGTATATAAACATATATATATATATATATATATACGCAACATCAACACTCAGCACATATTCATCATCATAACATCTCATAAATGATATGTCATGCCCAAAATATAATCAGAATGCATCAATATCAATCAGATGAAATAATAAATCAACCGGAGACCCTACAACGGTCCTGTACGGCTGATTCTAAAGCTCAACATCCAATCCAACCGGAATCACCTCGGTGACCCGTACGGTTCAACTTTGCACGTCACTCAGAACTACATATAGTAGTATGTACGATGACAGGTGTATAAATACGCTATAGTGCTTCTCTCATCAATCATCAGCGCGCATAACTAAGGTCACCCACTAGTCGAAATCACATCTAGTGATCTGTACGACTAGCATGTCGAAACCCTCACATGGTCTGTACGACATCCACCTACTTGGATCCAAGACGAGCGTGCGGTGTGGTGAATAACAATATAAGCACTATCACCTAGGTGCAGGTCATGAGCTTTCAATGCAATCCATGATAAATAACTCAGCTGAAAATAAATAAACTCACCTGAGCGTCTACAGCGTCATTTCATATATATATATATATATATATCAATTATCAAACTAAATATCTCAACAGTTTCATGCATGGCAAATAGATTCATAATTTTTCACATAAACATATTTTATGGGAAAAACAATTGTATATAGGTAATACGAAATTAAAACTGCCCACTCACTGATAAGTCGAGGGGTCGTAACCCCCGTGGCGTCCCTGGATGCGCTCGTCCTCGGGATAGGTGTCACCTATATGCGAAACAACTATAAAAACGTTAATTTTAAAAACATCACCAACATTTCGTAATAACTTCTCATACGATGCTCAATTTGGGTATATGAATATACCACATCGACCTACTCGACGTCGCATAATTTTTAGAAAAATTTTTGGACCTTCCACGTGCCCTTACGCGCGGCCCACGCGCAGGTACCTTAACGGAATCACAAACGGCGTCAAGAATATTCCTCGGAATATTCCGTCAAAAACTAACGGTTACAGTCAGAGTTAACTAACGGCGTTAGCATATTCCGTTAACTTTAACGGAATATGCCGTTGTCTTCTCCGGCGACTCGCCGGTTTCTGGGTAAGGTTTCCAACTATGGTTTCTCACTCATTTCTCAACCATTTTTCACAAAATTGGTACCAAAATGAAGCTATAAGCATGAGGAATCACATTACACCAATTTCAAAGTCTAAAATCCACTAAATTTTACCTGAGGTAGTTCGATAATTCGGCCAAACTTTGAAAGCTTCGTTCTCAGTCCTCCGACGTCCAAATCCTACCAACAAAGTACCCCGAAGCTCGTGAGAACCTCCTTAAGCTCACTGTGAGCTTGAAATTCCCTGAAACACAACATTTTACGTTCGCATGAACAGTGACCAAAAATAGAAGTTCGGGTTTCACGCAATTCCGAGGGTTTCACTTCCTAAAACTAGTACCAAACGACTCACAACGTCTCAAGGATGAAAATACATACCTTAGTTGCCTCGATCCGTCGAGTTTTGGAGATTTTTGGGTGTGGCCGTACGTTTGGGTGTGTAGAGAGAGGGAGAGAGAGTCGGGACGAGAAGAGAGAGAGAGACACGGGGAAGGGATGAATAACAGGGAGGTGTATGAGTGGTCCAAGATCAAATCCACGCCATCCATTTACATCCCTAACCAAACAAACAATCCAACCTTTCAAAATTTTATCCAACTTAATTAATATTTCCAATAGTTTAGGAAAAATATGAATATCTAAAACATATCACACACACACCTTAGTGCCCGTTAAGGGCAATTCAGTCATTTCACATTCCCGTCAAAGGTACCTCCGGGACGGGTTGTGACAATAACTGAATACAAAGCTTAGTGCTAATTATTAGTCATCGACTCATCTACTATAATTTGAATGAATTAATGAATCCGTAATATGTTTTTACGACGTAACGGTTCCATCAATTAAAAGAATTGTCATACTAAAAATTTCAAATGCATTAATGTATTTCACTAATGGTTCACCAAATTAACATCTAGTATGCTTTGCCTAACATATGAATTTAGAGAATAGCCATAAATAAAATAATATATAAAAAATTGGCATAAACTACAAATCATAATTGAGTTTTTCATGTTTTTTCTCTTTATAAATTTTGTATTTTTATCGAGAAGGGGGAAAATGAATTTGGAGCCAAACAAAACAACAAAAATATCCAAAACCCACCACACCCCCACATACATGATTACATTTCAGCCTACATCGATGGAGGGAGGGCTACCCAATTCACCCCAACACCTTCTCCAATTTCAAACTCCCACTTCAACGAACCCATAGTCGATTCCATCTTCCTCCATAGCAGCAACCCTTCTGCTCTCTCTCTCTCTCTCTCTCTCTCTCTCAGCAGCGGAACGCGCACACATTTATTTGCTTTCACAGTAGAAATTCAACTAACAAAATGAAGAATCCGTCTTCAATTTCTGTGAGTTACTCATTCTTTAGCTCATAAAGTGTATTATCTATGGAATTGTTGATTGTCTGCTCTTCAAGCATGTGCTGTAGCAGTGTAAATTACAGTGTTGCTTTCACTGACGATAGGATATTTGCTGGTTCATTGAAAGCTCGAAACTTTGGGAAGTTGAAGGTTTGGGGATGTGGGTCTTTGTCGAACTTGAAGAAAAACCGAAAAAAAGGGATGGGTTTTTGTGGGTTTGTGATGAAAAGGTCAGAGGAGGAGGTGGTGGTGGGGAAGAAAAGCCCGAAAATTTCAGTTTCTTCTGAGGAAGTTGTGAGGGTTTTGAAGTCAGCTTCGGACCCGAAATCTGCTTTAGCATTGTTTAAGTCTTTTGCTGAGTTGCCTAGTGTTGTTCACACCACTGAGACTTGCAATTACATGCTTGAAGTCTTGAGGGTTGATAGGAGAGTGGAGGATATGGCTTATGTGTTTGATTTGATGCAGAAGCAGATCATAAATAGGAGTTTGGAGACTTACCTTACTATCTTTAAGGGTCTTGATGTCAGAGGTGAGATTCGACAGGCACCATTCGCTCTTGAAGAGATGCGAAAAGCGGGGTTTGTATTGAATGCGTATTCGTACAATGGGTTGATCTATAATCTTATTCAGTCTGGATATTGTAGGGAGGCTTTGGAGGTTTATGAAAGAGTGGTGTCAGAAGGGATTAAGCCGAGTCTTAAGACTTACTCGGCACTTATGGTGGCACTGGGGAAAAGAAGGGATGTTAAAACTGTTATGAGCTTGCTAAATGAGATGGAAAGTTTGGGATTGAGGCCTAATGTTTATACTTTTACTATATGCATTAGAGTACTTGGGAGGGCGGGAAAAATTGACGAAGCGTATGAGGTTTTTAAGAGAATGGATGATGAGGGATGTGGCCCCGATGTTGTGACTTACACCGTTCTCATTGATGCTCTTTGTAACGCGGGTAAACTTGATAAGGCCAAGGAGTTGTTTGTAAAAATGAAAGCCAGTGGTCATAAGCCTGACCAAGTAACCTACATTACTTTGCTGGATAAGTTTAGTGACGGTAAAGACTTGGACACAGTGAAAGAATTTTGGAGTGAAATGGAAGCTGACGGTTATGCTCCTGATGTGGTTACTTTCACCATACTTGTCAATGCTTTATGCAAAGCTGGAAATGTTGATGAAGCATTTAATATGTTGGATACCATGAGAAAACAAGGGGTCTCACCGAATCTTCATACTTACAACACATTAATTGGTGGACTTCTGCGGTTATGTAGGTTGGACGAGGCATTGAAGCTTTTCAATAGTATTGACTGTCTGGGTGTTCCACCTACTGCTTACACATACATCCTTTTCATTGATTACTATGGAAAGTGTGGCGACTCTGGCAAAGCTATGGAGGCCTTCGAGAAGATGAAAAATAAAGGCATCGTTCCTAATATTGTTGCTTGTAATGCATCTTTGTACAGTCTTGCTGAAGAGGGTAGACTTCAAGAGGCACAGGATGTCTATAATGAGCTCAAATATTATGGGCTTTCTCCAGATTCAGTTACTTACAACATCATGATGAAGTGCTTTAGTAAGGTTGGGCAAATAGATGAAGCCATCGAGTTACTCTCAGAGATGGAAAGAAATGGGTGCGAAGCAGATGTAATTATTGTTAATTCTTTGATTGACATGCTTTACAAGGCTGACCGAGTAGATGAAGCATGGCAAATGTTTTACAGAATGAAGGAAATGAAGCTCACTCCAACAGTTGTGACCTACAACACATTACTCGCTGCATTAGGCAAAGATGGAGAAGTCCAAAAGGCCATTGAAATGTTTGAGAATATGGCCGAACAAGGGTGTCCTCCAAACACAATAACTTTCAACACACTCCTGAACTGCCTTTGCAAGAATGACGAGGTTACTCTGGCCTTGAAAATGTTCTGCAAAATGACCACAATGAGTTGCAGTCCTGATGTTCTGACCTATAACACTATAATTTATGGCTTAATCAGAGAAAACAGAATTGATTATGCGTTCTGGTTCTTCCATCAGATGAAGAAATCACTACTTCCTGATCATATAACATTGTGTACCCTCCTACCCAGGGTAGTAAAGGATGGGCGTATTGAGGATGGTTTCAAAATTGCTGAGAACTTTGTGTATCAGGTTGGGGTACGAGCAGATAGGCCTTTTTGGGAAGATTTAATGGGAGGGATTTTGATTGAAGCTGAAATAGACAGAGCCATTTTATTTGCTGAAAGGTTGATCTCTGATAGGATTTGCCGGGATGACTCTGTACTGATTCCTCTACTTAGAGTTTTGTGTACGCAAAGGAAAGCTTTTGATGCGCATAAGGTATTTGAGAAATTTACGAAAACTCTTGGAATTAAGCCAACACTAGAAGCATGTAACTACTTGATTGAATGGCTTCTGAAAGATCATGCCGCTGAAAGAGCTTGGGATCTGTTTAAGGAGATGAAGAATGGTGGTTGTACCCCCGATGTATTCACCTACAACTTGTTACTTGATGCTCATGGGAAGTCTGGGAACATCACCGAACTCTTTGAATTGTACGAGGAGATGATTTTTAGGGGATGCAAGCCTAACACCGTAACCCACAATATAGTCATCTCCAGTCTTGTGAAATCTGATAGCGTGGATGGTGCTATAGATTTATATTATGATCTCGTAAGTGGTGATTTCTCTCCCTCTCCTTGTACGTATGGTCCTCTCATAGATGGACTTTTCAAGTCAGGACGACTAGACGAAGCAATGCATTTCTTTGACGAGATGGCCGACTATGGATGCAAACCTAATTCTGCTATTTTTAATATTCTTATAAATGGGTTTGCGAAAACAGGTGATGCAGAAGCTGCTTGCGACTTGTTTAGAAGGATGATTAAAGAAGGGATAAGACCTGACCTGAAGTCTTACACCATTCTTGTGGATTGCCTCTGCCAGGCAGGGAGAGTGGATGATGCTGTGGACTATTTTGAGGAGTTAAAACAAAGTGGCCTCGATCCTGACTCCGTTTCTTACAACCTTATGATCAATGGACTTGGACGATCACGGAGGGTAGAGGAAGCACTCTCTCTTTATGATGAAATGCGGACTAGAGGAATCGCTCCTGATCTTTACACATACAATTCGTTAATACTCAATCTTGGACTTGTTGGAATGGTGGAGCAAGCGAGGAGGATTTATGAAGAACTACAACTTGTAGGCCTTGAACCTGATGTGTTTACCTACAATGCTCTCATCCGACTGTATAGCACATCCGGGGATCCAGATCATGCATATGCAGTTTACAAGAACATGATGGTTGGTGGCTGCAGCCCCAATGTAGGAACATTTGCACAGCTTCCCAACCAAACTTGACTTACAAGATATACAAGTCTGACTTATCTCCGTATCTGCGGTACGTGTCCTAACACAAATTACAAATTCTGGTGTGTTTGGGTTTCTCTCAAACTTTTGTCTGAACCTAGCTGTTTTCCAGGGTGATGATTTTGCAACAATTCAACTCAACGCATACAGATTCAGTTTTCCAGCATTGATGTTTGTAAGCGTAGATGTGTATCTGCGAGGAAGTAACATGTATTCGGTATTACCTTTGACCCCTGATATACTTTGTACGGTTTCTGTTGTTAACATATAAGTGTAAATGCTGTATCTAGTTTACCTCTTTCACACCTGCTATGTCAAATACAGTTGAATCATATTCTGTAATGGCATAAACAGATTATTATACGAAGTTATTGCATATATAATGTTCATATTTCGTCTTGCTGAGATTGTTTTGTGAAGAATTCTTCGGAGGGTTTTGCGTGAACTGCCCCCGAAGAATGACCAAAATGTTAAGTGACGCCATCCCAGGTTGCATTGAGAGTGAGTATCTGATATCATATGACACGTTTATTAATCCGTAATCTGATAAGGAGGATACTATCCTAGAAACATTCGGACATTCACCGCATCGAGGACAAGACCACACGCGTAATAAAACCGAAAAAAGACCAATTGTATTTATCTTTCGCAATGACAATGAGATTGTTTAAGGCCTTTGGCTTTCACTATGAGTAATTTAAACATTCAGAGAAACCTGATCTTGCACTGCAGTTTTTTTCTTTCCAACCTTTCTGCCATTAACTACACGATTTTTACGCTTCTTCTCTTCTCTTACGGGCTCCGAAACAATGTGTTCTCCTCCTCCTCCTCCTCCTTCCGGCGAGACACGAGAGGGTTTATTTACAACAGCTTCATTAGCATCTTTTTTCTTCTTTGCCAACTTCTTAGGTTGTACATCAGAATTCTGATGACGGACTTCTGGTTCGGTTTCTGCTGATTTCATCTTCAGCAGATGGCTATACCTTCGTCTCAAAAATCTGAAACTCCGAAGAGAGAAGCAAATTAGTATCCTACCTGCGGACAGAAAACATTGCAATACACAGAAACCAGAAGAACAAAATCATACCGAATTTCCGCCAAAAGAACGTCTCTTTTCTGCTTCGCAGCTTGCATCATCTTCTTCTTTGATACAAATTCCTATCAGAACATAAAAAGAAACAATGTCCATCTTTTATTCATACAATCAAAACCGCACAAATTAGAACCCGATTAATTTCGTTTCTTCCATCATAGTCAATCCATTGTTTCCAAACTTTAGTAAACAAGTATTTCAGATGCTCGAAAACAACTGTTAGTAAGCGCTTTAGTAAGTTGGTCAAGGCAGTGTGCCCGCACCTCGGACCAAGTTCAAATCCCCGTAACAACTGTGCGTTAGTAAGTTGGTCATGGCAGTGTGCCCGCCAACTCGAGCCAAGTTCGAATCCCCTTTCCAGTAGATTAAAGTAGATCACATATCATCTCGATTCAGAATTGTTCTCAAACCTTGTTTTCTCAATGACAACAAACTAACTAGAGGGTAACACAAACACCATAATTAAAGAAAACTAATCCAAATCAACACTTAATCATACAAGGATTTCATTAAGACTTAAGAAAAACATAATTAGCAAGAGAATTTCAATAAGAAAAGCAAGACCAAAACAAAAGTCGGAACAAAATCTAACCTTTTGTCGTAAAAGGTAATCCTGCATAAGACTTTCATGTCTGAACTTTGTCCTAGTCTCCTCATCAGCAGGCTGAGATTGCTTACGGTTGCCAGCAGCCCTTTTCATCTTCCTCTTCAAATCCCAAATTTAATCACAAAAACCCAACAAAATTCAAGAGAGAAAAGTGACCAAATTCGAAACCCAGTTGAACCCTCTTCATCTCCTGCTCAAAGGTCCAATCTTTGACCATTTAACAGTGAAAAAACCAAAAATCCACATCCAATCAGGAAATAAAAATCTTATTTTTAGAGACCAAAAAATACCCTCTCGCAAATTCTAGTAAAAAAAAATAGATAAAAACCTTATAGATTAAGGAAAGGAAATGAAAAGCCAAATCGAAAAAGGAGATAAGGTTTTCGATTCCAGAGAGACAATGGAGAGAGACAATGGAGAGAGAGAGAGAGAGAAAGAGAGAGATACAGGAGGAACAACAACAATAAATAAATAAATGAAATTATGGAGAGAGATGGTTTTTGTGTGTATACAGAAAACAGATGGACATCTGTCTGTTTCGTTTTTTGGGTCTTTGAGAAGAAACTCTCTGGGTTGTGAGAACCCGAAAAGGCCCATGGAGGAGGGAGACAAAGAATACAGAGTAAATGAGTGATGAAGAGCCTGAAGATGGAATGTTACAGAAGGGCAATTGTGGAAGGTGAAAAAAGTTTTGGGTTTGAGGAGAGAGGGATTGGTGGCTGTTGGATTGGAGGACATTTGAAGACATGTATCCATCCTTCCTCTCCAGCTGGGGGGACATTTTGGGGAGAGAGAGAGTATTGAGGTGGGTAGAGAGAGAGAGAGAGAGAGAAGAGAGAGAGAGAGAGTGCAGCTTAATACATCAAAACTAGCCAGCTGTTTGCTTTTTTGCAGTTTGTAGGCTTCTAGCTGAGAAGGGCTTTACCATTGGGGCTTTGAGATGGTGAAGTCTTAAAATTACCAAAATACCCTCCTTGAAATTTCAGTTTTCAGATTTAGGACACGTTATTTTTTTTTTTTATAATAGTGTTTTGTTATAAAAGAGGTAAAGGAATCTACGAACGCTTGAAAAAAATATAAAATACTTGAAACTAACAGAATATTTTTTTATTGTTGTTGTTCTAATATTTTGTTATTTTTTTGTCTTTCCCTTCCTAGAGCTTTTGAGAGCCGAGAGATGTGGTTTCCTAAAATCTGGGGTTTTTATCACAAATGGTATTTTTAAGTTTTGAAAGGTCACTTTGGTTCTTTACGTTTCAAACTCATAAATTTCTTTCAATTCTATTGAGTTACTCATCAATATCATGTTTCCTCATAGATGGAATTTGAATTCGTAACACTTGCAACATGATGGATATTGCATCTTGCTAGACAAAGGGCTGGTTTGGTATTGATGTGCTTTGAAAAAAAATTATTTATGCTGTGCTGTGAGAATAAGCTCATTTTTACTGCTTCACATTTTCAGCTTTTTTCACCTAAAAATATGAAAATAAGATGTTTTTAAGTGTTTACTAAACACCTTTTTTTGATACCCACTTTTATAAAAATATCTCAGTACCAAACCATACCAAACTGGTACTAAATGGCCCTATGCCGCACCAGACCGTCGAAGCTGCAAACCGGTTTGGCAAATTGGTCCCAACCCGGTTTGTTTATGATTGCTTCTGAAATCGCAGCACACTGCAAAAATGCAAACACACTTTTATCCAGATGGTATGGTGACAGCGAAACAGATAAAACACTTCACATCATTTTACTTGAACAGCTCAAAGATATATTAAGATTACATTCAAACACTCTGGTGGTACTTTGTTATAATCTGTACATACTATTTCAACGTGTGTTTCAACCGAAAAAACAAACATCGAAGATCACAAAAACGAGTTTTAACTAAATCGCTAATGATCCATTCGTTTTCCTTTTTTTTTTTCCAGGCTAAACAATCTACAATTACCAATCTGAGATTCACATTTCTTCTGAGAGAGCAAAAACGTGATGCAAATCTCTCTACTAATTTCACGGTACACAGCGGGCCACTACTTCGATTCACTTTCATCTGCCTTTGAATCACTTCCGTTTGAATCGCTGCCAGCTGCTTCTTCAGTCGACGAGGATTGCCCACCCTCAGACTCAGTCGACTGTTTGGGCTTCTTGAACTGCACCACGATCATGGTCATGTTATCGCATCCCTCACCACCAGCAGTCGATGGCGCCAGACACCTATCAAGGGCTCTCTCGCATACCACAGATAGCTTGCTTTCCTGCATGATTTACAATGGTGTCATACCAAGCAACATTATATGGAACCACTTCAACTGCATTGCAAAAGTGCTGTCCTTGTTTTCAAACCAGGAAAACCAAAGAAAAGAAAGAGAAACATGCACTCACAGAAAGTAGTTGTTCACGTACAAAATCTACCACTTGCTGGCTAGACATACAGTCCCTGTAAGAAAGTAACAAAAATATCAACTCGATTTCCGACAATCATACCATAACTTAAAAAACATTAAACTGAGTTATCAAAAGCAGAATCATATCAGCAAGGATATATTGAACAAAAATAAAAATAAAAAATAAAGAAAGACTTAAAAAACATTAAACTGAGAAGAGAATCAGTATCAGCAGATATATATGCAAAAATTAGCAAAAAAAAAAGTTAAAGACGCATACCAGATGCCATCGCATGCTAGCACAATAAATTCATCGTCATCACAAAGCTCAACCTAATTAAAAATTAAGTAAATAAATTAAAATGGAAGACAAAAGTAATAGCCAATAACTGTTAGTTATTTTTGCTTTTATAATAAAACACGTACCAAACGATTTTGGGAAACTTCAAAATGTAGATAGCCCCCCAAAACCATCATTATCCAAACTACTATATTGTTCTAAATATCTTGTGAAAACTTTCAATGTCGCAAGTATATACATACAGTGTTTATGTCCGGACATGCAGTTATGATTTGTTTTTCATCTGGCAAAAATTTATTCTGCTTGAATTCCATGTCACCTGCGGTATATGCAAAATTAATGAGTACAGGGAACATAAAAAGCTATGCACTGAGCTCCCCCTCTACAAATATGCACCCACACACTCAATGTAGTTTACAACACAACACTGAACGTCTTCCAAGGAAGTTCCATACATCTATAAATATAAATTTCAAAACATAATTTAATTCCTTTGGATACAAATCTAATTGAGATTTCGGAACAGTGTTATACTAAGAATGCACATTCATGCACTATAATTACCTATAGCTCTTGCAAGGTTCAAACTTCCATTGACTCGTCCTGCATGGATGAAACCACCAGCTTTTAAAATCCTCTCCTTCTCAAGCTCAAGATCAGGTTTGTGGTCCCTTGACAGATTATATGCCTGAAAAATAGAAGTGACATCAGAAAACTATATGCAATTTACAGCAGGAAACAAGTATATACAAATATTCTCAATTGTAAACATAGGATCACATATAAATAGCCTTGGAATTTAGACCTCTCATCACTTTTAACCATTTGATATAGAAATGAAAAGACTTGATTATCTATTTTAAGCAATCAACATAACAAGAAAGAAAAACAACAGAAATATAATAAATTACCTGACCCTTCCTTGATATCACACAACGAGAATCACCAGCATTCGCCACAAAAAGTTGCTTGTTTCGAAGAATTGCAACACAGGCAGTGCTCCCAGAAGTTGGACCAGTAAAATCAGAGTGAGGCCCCTGAAAACATAATTGTGTTTAAATTGTGGAATTCCTTGACATTATGAAACCAAATGAAACAAATTACTTGCACTATAGATAATTTCTTGGTGTGTGCAGGGATGTCCCCATGTACTATAGATAATCTCTCGGTGCCTCAGGTTTCAATCCTAAACTGTGTTCGGTTTAAGATGGATCATCGGAATGGAAAATGGAACAGATGGAAAGGGAGTAGATTTCTCCCTCCTATTTGGTTTGAGAGGAGGGAAATTATTGGGCTTGTTTGGATATAAAGCATGGAGATAAATTTTCAACATTAGAGTCTAGAACTATAAATTTGCAACAATGGGATGGAGCCATGGTTTCCTTCCTCCAATCTGCCTTCCCCTACAGGAAGTATACTGCTATTTTCTTCTAACCATACAAATCGCAATACTAAATGATTAAGTTCTAAATTACCAAAGAATCCATGTGGTCAATTTAATATGCAATAAAGCCAGATAAAGCAGATCAGAATCTGCTCCAAAAAGAGACAATAAAGTCAATGAACTATATGGTTCTAGCACCTACCTCCTCAAAAGCCCAATCATCAGCTTGATCATTACCATTACTGCCCCTTGGAGACCAAATTAACCCTTCTATCATGCCAGTAAACTTGTTTATCTTATCTCCCAAAACAGCCAACTCTCTCCAACCCCTTTGTCCACGCATCATTTCATCCATTCTACATAAACCAACTAACAACATCTTCAACCTCAAAATTAAAAAGAGAGTAATAAGACCACAACAATAAAGACAAGTAATAAAAGCATTACTATCTCAAGTATCTATGATCTCACAAGGACCCAGGACAATATAGGCTTAAAACCATATGGCCAATATTTTGGCTTGATAAGCTGAAGGTATCATAAAGAACAGCCCAATACGATATAGCTTGACTAATTGTATTCGTACCCTCCTCTCAGAAAACAGTAAAAGGCAACTGAATTTAAGTAGATCAAAGGTAGTAACCTGAAAAAAGCTTTCTGAACAGAAGTTCCTATGTCTCCAGCCGCATATGCTTCATTCTTGAGTACTTGTTGGTGAAGATATTTTGCACAGAACTTAGCAACTACCTTGCCTAGAAAATTATTGGATTTTAAGTCAGATATAATACAATAAATGTAAATATTGCTAAATACTTCGAAAAGTGCAATGTAGATCTGATAAACAGAAAGCATTCATTTGAGAGAGAGAGAGAGAGAGAGAGAGAGAGAGAGAGAGAGAGAGAGAGAGAGAGAGAGAGAGAGAGAGAGAGAGAGAGAGAGAGAGAGAGAGAGAGAGAGAGAGAGAGAGAGAGAGAGAGAGAGAGAGAGAGAGAGACGAGAGAGAGAGAGAGAGAGAGAGAGAGAGAGAGAGAGAGAGAGAGAGAGAGAGAGAGAGAGAGAGAGAGAGAGAGAGAGAGAGAGAGAGAGAGAGAGAGAGAGAGAGAGAGAGAGAGAGAGAGAGAGAGAGAGAGAGAGAGAGAGAGAGAGAGAGAGAGAGAGAGAGAGAGAGAGAGAGAGAGAGAGAGAGAGAGAGAGAGAGAGAGAGAGAGAGAGATACCAAAAGTTTCAAATTCTTACCTCCATGGCCATCATAAACACCAAAGAATGAGGTGGATGCATCCAGATCAGGATATGCTGCATGCTAACAAAATAAATCATGGTAACAAACAGCACTTAATAATGTGACACCATTTTCTGAAAACAAAGTAAGTAATCACTGCACTTCCTCTTATACAGGATGCAAAAATATTTATGAATGCAGGAGAGTTTAGTTTTCCAACAATTTATCAGGAAAAGTAAACACGGAAAGGATTTTGTACAAAGAGAGAGAACTAGATTTTGAAAAGCTAAGTGGGATGGTTTCTACCAATTGGGGAAGCAAGTAGCAGTTTTTGTAAAGTACTACTTAGTCCCTACAGTCCGGATCATTTCTACAACAAGCAGAAGGCACCAATAGGGCTAGTCAAATAAACAGACCACGGGAAACTACCAGGCTACAAGCAAGGAGTAGCCATGCCCAACCCTCTATCTGCACCATCATATGCCACAAGATAATTGACTTCTATCTTAATTAAAAGGACAGTAATAATCCGCCAAGTGGAATTAGATTTATGCAGTCAATTGAACATGTCAAGTAATATCATATTCAGTTGAATCCTAACTATAGCATGCTAAATAAAGACGGAAAAGGATACAAAAGTATAAACTTCTGAGAGGAAGAGGAAAGTTAAATGTACTCACAGCATCCTCCATTGTGGTACGCCATCCTTGCATGGACGACAAACCATATCTGACACGGCCATTCTCGCCATCTTCGGAGAGCTTTTCAGTTTTAGGAGTGCTCAGATATGTACCCATTCCAGTCTGAAATTAAATAAAAACTCAATCAAAAACTTTAATCCACAATTCAATGCTGAAAAACTAAATTAGCCCGAAACCAAGTTACGAAGATATCGCTATTTGGTTATGAAGATAGATATAAATCACCAGGAAACCAAAGAAATGGCAAGGATTTGCCAAAATTTGTAAAGCAACCACAGATGTATCAACTTCTCTTCCTCTGTTAGTCTGTTATCATCTCACATGCCACACTATTCGAGACTGGATCGATTCGATCACAGCCAATCCGCCAGTTTTAAACTTAACTAACTAACGATCAAATGATCTAAACATTCAAAAGCAGCAAACAAAGTCAGATTAAGGTATTAAATTCACAAACTTTAAGCAAAAATTGGACTGGAAATTATGAAAGGTAATCGGGAAACCACCAAGAACATATAAAGCACAAATTATAAGAAAAACCCATATATCAAATGAAGCAAAATTTACATTCAAACGGGAAAAAATCATTAAAAAAATTCAAGATTAACCATAAGTAAGAAAATCCCAGATGCCAATTTGCACGAAAACTAATGAGATGAAACCAAGAAAGAAACTTTTACATGGAGAATAGTATGACTTGAGATGCTTGAGGGTCCTTCACACCAGGGGGTACAGAGCAAAATATCAGAATCGGAGGTGGAAGAAAGAGCAGAAAGAATGGTTGCTGGGGCTTGTGGAGAAGTGGGTTTTGCAGAGGTTTGACAAAAGAGCCGGCGAGTGAAGTTTTGACGGAATCTAAGAGAAAACGAACAGGCAAGAGGTGGGATGAAAGAGTAGAGAGAGAGAGAGAGAGAGAGAGAGTGACAATAATTCTTCAGGAACGGCAGAGGATGGAGAGAGAAAGAGGAGAGAGAGAGAAAGAGCAAATCATCGGAGGAGAGAGAGAAGATGATGACTTCTGGAGGAAAGAATGATCTCGTTTGAAATTTGGGTAATTTCTTCTGCTCACACTGTCCACGAACTGCTTCATGGACTTTTCGTGGTTCTCGTAAAGAGGAAATAAATTGGGTACTTCCTTTTATTCAAGCCGTTAGCCGTCTTTCTATCTCGGGTAATTTGTATTTTCTTTTGAAAGAAATTTTGTGTATTTTTCCTCGTGTTTTTAAGTACGGAGTCAAACGGCTATTTAGTACTACGTCGAGTGGTATTCTTTTTCACTTATAAGATAAGAAGCTTTAGGTTTTATTCTCGCCAAAGATGCATTTGAATCACGTTATTGCTCGCTTATTGTAAGGCTAAATCCACATCCCCTTAGTGTAGATAATATCGTTAGTTCAAAAAAAAAAAAATACAGGATCAAACAGTGTTTATGGAGTCGTCTTCTTTCTCAAGCACATGTAGCTTCTTTACTATATTGTATGAATAGCACTGTCCATTTTTAATTGTGTTGGTACATTAATTCAATCTCATGTAAAAAATTGCAAGAAATCCTATAGCTCGAGAAATTACTCTAATTTTTACCCCTTTCTTTTTTCTTTGTTTGATTTTATCTCGCTATTTTATCATATTCCCTCAGAAGATACAAACAAAAACATGAGCAAAAACAAATGCAGATAAAAATCACTTTCTATTTAATTTTAAAGGGAATCGATTAGTGGTTTCATCACGGTATTCTGCATTTTCGAAAGCCGGGATCTCACAGAGGTATTTCATTCTTCCTTAACCATTATCGTATGATACCAACATTAGAAATCGAACTCAGAACTTACTGTGTAGAATATATGGCCCATAATTCCTTTATAAAAATCACTCTCTATTTCCCAAGAATTGGACGTTTGGAGTTTCTAATGTATTTCAAGTTTTTGGCTTTGTCGGCAGAAAGGCTAGCAAAAACTTGTTAAACTATTAATCACCGACTTATAAATACGACGCATAACAAAAAACAACGAGAAAATGACTCATCATAAAATTGGTCCATTTTGTAGGCATGTAGCTGGCAGCACATACATAATAGATTCACCGAATTATCAATTAATTTCCTATTAAACAACCCACTAAAGCATGCAACAAAACCATTTTGTAGGCCCGTATTTCATACGGTACGTGATGAGTTCGGTTCATGACGTTGATGAATCATGTAATAATGGTTATAAGAGGTTGAAATGCCTATGTAAGTCTTCTTAACCCCAGATATGGTGGACCTTCGTAATGAAGGCACCAACTGATTTTAAAAGAAAAAAAATTAAAAAATATTCATAATTTGTGTAACAAGAAAGGAAAGTTGTTTTCTGCATTTTGGAGAGCATTCGTAAGTCACGTAGCACCATGGAGAAATTTTTTTATATACAACTAATAATATGACTAAAAATTTCGATCTCAAGGAAGTAGAAAGTTTCACAAGTATGAAATAATTTCGTCAATTAAATTCCCTCACTTAAACATAAAAACAAACAAACAATCAAACAAGCAAAAAAAAAAAAACTATCTCCATTTGTAGGCAATTCATCATCACATGGCATCATGAAGAAATTTTTATACAATAAGGAGTTAAGATTCTCTCTGAATCTCTTTGTCCAGAGTCCAAATATCTAGGGATACGGATCGTTGAAGAGAAAAAAAAATATATGGATTCTTAGTTTATGTGAGATGGACCAGTAAAATAGGCCCATAAAGACCGTAAAATTTAAAATAAGTGATCCGAATTTTCAAATCAGTTAACATTGGACACAGACATTCAAAAAAAAATCTCAACTCATAAATTAGTAATAGGACATATTTCCGGCACCTTGCCATCCGAAAGCTCCACAGTTATGAAATAATTTATTTATCTATCAATTCATCAACTTAGACACGAATCAACCAACAAAAAGACTCAGTTTCTTCCGTAAGCAGTCAATTCTAAATCGTGCGTCTTAAAGGAGAAAGTTTTATGCGTATACAATCGATAATATGACAAATTTCGTAGCATCGTGTCAACATAAAGCTTTACTGTTACGAAATAATTTTGTTATATATCAAATCATCCACTTAAACATGACAACAAACAAATAAACAAACTAGAGAAATGTTAAGGAGTCTCTTTTAAAGTCAGATTTTTCATGAATTCTCTGCCACCTCATGTTTTTAACACAATGTAATACTGGCACAAAAATTATACAAAAAATATAATCCTTAGCACTTCTCAGCAAACAAAACAAAGGCCTCGAACTTTCCTTCCATTTGTAGGCATTTCTAAGCCACATGCAGCTGGCGGCTTTCACTAGACAATGAAATAACTTCACTTTTTTGTGTAGGGATATAATATTTACACCCCCTATTTTACTTCTCACACACCTTTTTAATTTTCGGTCATCGGATCGGATGAATTGAAGAAGATCAACGGACAAAAATTATCAAGGGGTGTGTGAGAAGTAAAATAGGGTGTATGAATAGCACACCCCTTTTGTGTATTCGAGCATTATACGTTTTGGTCAATTGCCAAATAATTTATTCACTTGGAACGATTGTCGGAGTAGGATTATCTCCTCTTTTTTTCCCCTTCCCTTTCCTCATCTTCTATTTGAAAGGTCACAGTTAAGCCACGTCAATATCTTATATTAATTTTTTATAGCAAGAAAAAGACAAAATAAGAGAATGTGAGAGGATAGAATGAAAGGGGATGAAAAAAGAAAGAGAAAGAATCATAGTCCTTATGTTTATATAATGTTACCAAAAGTAGGAACAACGTTGAGGAGCAAGGTCACCTCCCTTGGATGGCATTCCATTTTTAAAGATTCGAATTCAATATTCAATTGGGATTTCTGTGTTAACGATTGAAGTTTTTTAGATAGAAACAGAGTGAAGTGCGCAAAAACATTTAGTTTATTTACTAAGACATTTTATTGAACACTTGGTGGACTTGTGTTAGTAGCCGAACCAAACTGCACACATATCAACAAGTATTGACACATGTGAAACAATCTGACGAGTGCTACTGAAATAATTTGTTAGGTTTCTCGAAGCAACTTGTGATAGTCATTTCATCAACAACTTGGTGGGCTAAAAAGAGACCCGTATCAAATATTTAGAGTGTTCTCGGAAGATCACCTCTCAATATACATATGGCACTGGATGCAAGGAGTGTAACATATTGTTCTAGCCAACTTAATTGATCTGACATGTTGCATGGATTAGCACATCATCCAAACATTTCTTGTGCAAATGAACCATCATTTCCTCTTCATTAAAAGGATAGATAAAAGTCAAGTCACAGGTAGAGTTCGGTATGACATCGACGTCAGTTTGTCACTGGATTGTTGAATTCTTATGGTCCCAACCCCTTAAATATGCCAATAACCTAACATGTTTTTAGTAATTGGCTATCGTTTTTCGTTGAAAACAAGCAGATGGCAAGTTGTAAACGTAAGTGCGGATATAACCCCATCCATGTGTTTCGATTAGTGTCGAGGCGAACGAGAGTGCGTACATTGTCTGTATCTTACTCGTTGCGTGTCACAATCAAAATAGAAATGTGAAGAAGACTCATGCCAAACTGACTATTCCTGTCACTTCATGTTTTTAACATAATATTTTGTAATGTTGGCATGAAAATTAACGTTAAATTGTGAGGTGACAAAGAGAATTCATGAAGAGTTCCACTTTGAGAGATTCTCCTTAACATTTCTCATGGTCAAAATTTAAAGATACCAAATCTCCTGAATCCAAAATAGGTGTGGCCTCTTTATGACCTATCATTGACCGACATATGTTTATAAACTTAAATTTTTTTAGCTTTGTTGTCATAAACTTAATATGTGTCAAATAATGATTGAGACAACAGAGATGCAACACCCATTTTAGATGTAGAAGATTTGATCTCAAATTTAGAAATGGGAGTGCTACCAACTTTCTCACTGCTACTCATCTATAAAAGTAAAAGTTAAGGAGAAGCAATCACATCCATGTTTTAGTTTTCCTCCAACAGACCAAATACTCGCTACGTTGTGCAGTATCAAATTGTTAATCAAAACCGCGCCTTTAGACGTAGTTTAATTTTGTTTATGATATTTGAACTCGTGACATGTTTTATATTTAATATTCGGGGAAGAGAAATGCTATGGGGACTCTTTCAAAAGTGACTCTTCATAGACTCTTTACCACCTCACAGTTTGACGTCAATTCTAGAGCTAACATTATAAAACATTGTATAAAAAACATAAAGTGACAGAGAGTTTATGAAGAGTCCCACTTTTGAGAGACTCATTATCATATGCTTTTGGAGAAACAAGAGCATCTATCATTAAGTATAGCACTAATAATAATCAATCATTATAATAATTGTATAGACCAATTTTTGAGACATTTTTCAATGTGACCGAAACACGGGCTGATACACCACGTGTCCCTATACAAGTGGTGATATTCTTGTATTAAAAAAGTAATAATGTAAAAAATAACATTTTTCATCACTTATTTAACAACACGTGATGTACCACTTGTGTTACGGGCACAAGCAAAAAATTTCCCAATTTTTTAAGAGACAAGGAAAGGGATAGCCTGAAATTGGTCAAATTCTAGTCCTCGGAACATGCAAAATAAAGTTCATCAAAGTGTAAATCAAACGCCACTCATTATGTCGTTGTATAAATGTATAAGTTGGTCTCTTAACGTGGGATTCAGATAAGTCATGATGTTCTTATTAACCCATTTCATTGGTCAGCTTCACACACAATCTCTCTCTTCAACACTCTTATCTCTCTCTCTCTTGAACGATCCAAATTGCTCGGTTCGTGAGCTCTAAATGTGATCTGGAGAGAATTTCAATTTCAAGTGGTTCTAAAGTTTCACATTTTTTTTAACTCGTTCTTTAAGCTTTGATTGTTTGGCTTGTAGACGATAAGATCAACTTTGGACAAAAGATATGATAGGATACCAAATGTCCTAGCAACCCAATGTGTATACTGCAATAAAGACTTGCATACACTCTTATTTTGAAAACGTCACTGTATTGTTCTGAATTGATAATATAATATTATGGATATTTTAAGCTGTAGGTAAGTCTCTCTCGTATATTT